CGGGCGCCTGTCCACTCCCGCCGTCTGGACAGGGGCCGCCCTGGGCAGAACCGCACCCCCACGACCCATAAAGGCCGGGTTGGCCTGACCCCAAGTCCGACATCTGACCCGCGCGGGCCCTGGAGACGAAATGGAAGGAAAAGGGAGGCACGCGAAGGGGAAGTGAACCAGCGAGGCAGGAATGACCCTCCAACTTCCAAGAGGGACCGTTCGGTCCCTGCCAGCCCGGTGCTCAGGCCTCGGGGCAGGGGTGGGTCGGGACCCCGTGGCAGCTCCAGTGGGAAGCGGAGGCCGGAATGTTCTGGAATCTCCTGCACAGGCTCCGGCTTTGCAGACCTGCCTGGGCCAGAGCCTGCCCCGCGCCGGGTCCTGCCCTCCTCCCCCGAGACAAACACGCACAGAGAAGACCACAGCTCGCTTTATTTCACTGCCTTCCCTATTTAAACTTTTATTGGTTTTAGAGAGGCGAAGGGAGAGGTTGATTTATTGTCCTACTTACTTTTTAAATATATTTTCATTGATTTCAGAGGGAGAGAACCATGGATCGGCTGCCTCCTGCACATCCCCCACAGGGGATTGCGCCTGCAACCCAGGCATGTGCCCGACTGGGAATCGAACCCGGGACCCTTCAGTGCGCAGGCCCACACTCTATCCACTGAGCCAACTGGCCAGGGCTGCTGTCCTACTCGTTAACACATTCATTGGCTGCTTCTATGCGCCCTGACCCGGGATGGAACCTGCAACCTTGGAGTAGAGGCTGACTTCTTTAAAGACTGGAAGGCAGCTCCAGGGAAGCAGTGGCCTGGAGGCCTCCCCCCTCCCCCTCACTGGGCCCCGCCCACTCGGCAGCAGCCCCAGGAGCCCCGCCTCCCCAGGCCCAGGAGACACTCCCAGCACCAAGCCCTGAAGCAGCCGCCTGAGGGCTCCACAGCCCAGGCCTGTCCTGGTGGCCCTGCCAGCCCATCCCATCAACCTGGTGAGCCGCAGGGCCTTCACCCACACCCGCTCCCCTGCTACCCCCCTCTGGGGGCACAGGCCCCTCGGCTGCTCTGGGGGCACAGGCCACCCCGGCCAGCTCCCTCGGCCTGTGACTGCTCTGCACCCGTCCCCTCACCTGTGCCAAGTTGTCTCCTGGGCAAGAACAAAGGCTGTGGAGGCGGGACACCTGGCCCTGCACCCCACACCCCCCCCCCAACTCCAGAAGGTCAGAAACCAGGGGTGCTGCCCCCACACCCTGGGCCTCCAGGTGAAGGGCCACGTGAAGGACGGATGGGAACTGTGGGAGCCACGCCCATGAGAATTGCCATTTATTCCCGAAGTTGCCAAAATCATCACCAAGGATTCACCGAGGGTGTGCGGGGAGGAGGCTCAACACTGATCAAGGGGCCAGTCAGGAGCGGGAGGAGGGGGACGGGGCCTGCTGTCCCTCCTTCTAATGCCACGGACGGGGTTCTCCTCTGGCCGGCACCTCCCCATCCCCCAGGTCGTTTCTGGGGCGGTGGGTGAGGAGAGGTGTAGTGTGAGTGGCCCCAGGAGGGAGGGCGCGGGGCCGCTTCACATGCACTCACAACACTGGTGTCCCAGGCAGCGGCCGGGCTGGCCAGGCCACGCCCCAGCCCGGCTTATAGGAGGAA